AATATCTGTTCGAGACAGCGAGAGAGGAAGGCATGGACGGCGCCGGGGCGCACGTACCGTACACTTTACATCCGCCATCTCGCGCGCTTCTCTATCCTTTCTCGTCCCAAGAAGCCAACCACGGAAGTTTCGATAGACTCGCGAATGATCTACGCGCAATAGAGATCCGGAATATCGTGCGATGAAAATTGACGAGACGTTTTATATGACGCGTACAATAATAATTTGAGACTCTTATGGGCATTATGAGAGGCGACGTCAGTATTTATCAATTGAGCAATAATTAAATAATGCTAAAATATGCATCGACTCTATTCAGAATCGGTGGTTAAAATTAATCGACAATGGGACAATGGGACAATGGCGAAATAATGGTATTTATGAAGTAAAACAATCTCCAATTGAAACATCACTTAATGCTTCATCCCGTCGCTTTAGCACATCCGGTTTATGCGCCAGGCAACGAACCATGTAATAGCCGTAAGATTTAATTGCGTTGTTCTATGATCGAGGGCTGTAGGTACGCTTTTCAACATCTGTGAAAAATCACGTTACCAACGTGGCGATTAAATAAATTACAAGGTACCCACGGCAATGATATACCCAACGATATTAGTAATTCAGTGTTTCTCACTTTTTACACTTTTCTCTCGCAGTCATTAGATAATCTTTATACATGATCTTTTATTTATCGTAGACACGAAAGCTCTACGTTTATTTATTACAGACGTGCACTGAGAAAAATGCTTCGATTGCATCAAGACACGTATGATAGAATGTATTTTGGCTAAACCAAACAGAATTTCTAGTTGGCATGATAGGGCTCGATATTTCATAACCGGAAGTTTGCTAGACTTCACTACACATCTGGTAAATCCTAAAGGAATTCTGATTCGTCCATTTTCTAACAGATGACTGGTTGAATCTACCAGATTTTTTTTCGGTGTGAAAACCGTGCGGCAAGAAAGAATCGTCGTCCCTTGAATGAAATTTTCGAGGGGTAAACCGCTGACCAAAATCATGTACTCCAATGCACAGTGCAGGGTTGACTGGAAAAATCCAGGGGGTGGAAAAAACCATGGTAAATTCGAGTTTTTACCGTCCCGGACTTTATCTAATGGAATAAATTGGCAAACATTATAAAAATAACTAATACTTAATTAAAATATATTTATATAAATATTAGTCATTTTTATAGTCTTTATGAGAAGATATTTGTTTTAAATACTAAATTATAGATGTTAATCACAATTTTAAAAAGAAACCAACATAATAAGTTTTTTAATTAGAAAAAATTGATTTATTGAAATGAATACATGTTTTTAAAACGAGAACTTCGGAAGTACTAAATTTTATATTAATTTTTAGTTTATGCGAGAAACAATACTTTTTTGCAGTGCCTTTTAAAAGTTTTCTACTTATGTTATCGTTTTTAATAGAAAAGATCAGTTTTTGCCGATTTTTTCCGAAAAATACCACTGGCATGACCTTCTCCGAAAAATGTAGAATTTTGCCAACCCTAGCCCAGTGGGCATTACTTTATCTTATTTTATCTTTATAATACCCCAGCAAGCCTAATGCCCAAACTAATCCCCAAAAATGCCTAGTAATGCCTAGTAATGCCTAGTAATGCCGCAAATCTGTACGCCACAATGCCCTCAGCGGTTTACTCCTCGGAAAATTTGTTTTCAACTATTTACTCGTTTACGTGTAGACAAGTCTAGGTGAACGCATCGGTCACGCGTTGTCGGTTTTCATCGCTCGTCAGCACGCACGCATGTGCGTGCGCTACTTGTCCGATCTGTCGCATAACTCGGGGTGGCTTTACGACGTTCTACAGCGTCGCGCGTTCGCTGTAAAACCGCGAGCCCTCATAAAGACGGACACGTCGCATCTCCCTCGTGAATTAGATTCGCGTGGCGCGTGATTTTCTCCGGCGTGTGTGTGTCTCCTTCTTTTTTTCCCGTCCTGTCTTTTCTTCGTTTCTTTAGATTTTCATCCTCCACACCGGTTCGCGCCGACATCGCCATTCGTTTAGCCGCGCGCGCTTACAGCGACCGCGACGAAGCCGACGCGATTCGCTCTTCGGCCTCCTACTGCGAGCCTCAAGATCGTGGCACGAATAAAGAAAGCGGATGAACAAAGGACGAGGCGAGAGACTCGATAATCGGTGCGTCTCCTCGTGAGAACCGCGAAATTGGCACCGCTGGATTAAGTTCCTCTTTTGTTTTATAATCCCCGAAATTTTTCGAGCGTGCTTAGAAAATACCATAGATATAGAATAGACCGAGCGTATCCTCTGGTGGGCAATGAAGACCAGGTAGAAAAGGATAAATAATAGATACCGTGTCGCTTTCTCCTTTTATTCGCGTCTGCGTAGTGAGGTGTAAATGTGGTGCGACATATACAAATATGAACATGCATACAAATTATCGCGCTCAATTGTCTCCCCCACTTTTTCTTACACCCTCCCACTTGCTTCTCGTTAGAGAGAGAAAGGTTCACGGTATCTATTGTCAGTCTCTTTCTACTTAATCCTCAGATTTCAAACCTCATGCTCGGTCTATTCTTACTATGTCTATGGAAAACACGAACGCTTAGCATATCCGGATTTAGAAAATACGGACGCTTAAATGTGCTTCTGAAATATCGGAATGTAGCGTAGGTACTTTTTAGCTTTTTCTATCTCTTCAAAAAATTGATAAATACATTCAAGAAATGAATTGTACTGCAATTGTCGCAATTATAACAATATAGAAAGCGGTCTACTCTTACGTTTGAGTTGACACATATCACGAATCCGTGTGTGCGTGTCGAAATATTGGTATTTACATCGAGCTTTATTACACGTAGAAAGCAGGCAATACTTAAGCGGATCAAGCGTAATTCCGCGCGCATAATAATCGGTACAATTATACAGATCAATATTCTACGCGCGATCACACGCAATTTCGCGTTCCCCAATAAAATTGTCGACCGAGCAGAATTTATTAGCCGCTCGCGCTCTACTACCTGTCCCTTCTTATCGATACGATATTGCGGATGATCGAGAGGGTGGCAACTGTTGCAATTAAATGCTTAATTGGACCGACGTACTGGAGCTCCGGTGATTGCCGTACCGGAACACCTGCTACAGTTGCTGGCTGATTTAATGCCGCGGAAGAATCAACCTCGAGTTTTACAACGTTCTTAATGCACCTGTTTTTTTCCCCCTCCCTTTGTCGCCCCCAACAAAATATTCATGTCGTTCGAGACGGTCGAGATTAAGCGGCCGACTTTTTGCATAATTGTCATTTTAATTGTGCATTATTAATTGACCACCGAGCCGGTCGAGTGTGACGCTGATTAACTGCGACGTTCCGTGATATTGAGAGAAGTCGCGCGTTAAATAAGAATCGTGGTAACGCCGCCGTAACAAATGTACATTTCGTGCGATTTTGTTACTCGTGCCTTATCTTCGATCGGAGGGTATTCGTGAAAGTATCCCGTATCCCTCGGGAACATTATAGCGCCCGAGATCGAGAATAATGGCGCGGCCTCTATTAGCCTTTCGACGGGGCACCGCAATTCCACGGTGAAAATGAAGCGCTGAAAGGACGGAAACCGCGGCTTTGTTCGGTCCGCGTCGAAGCGTCTAATTATTGCGTCGCTCGCCGCGCCACTCCGCTTCCACGTCCGAGAGCGCCTAGCCTCGGCGAGAGAAAGAGAGTCGGAGGAGGTAATCTCGTTGCGTGCAATCGCGTGTCGTGTTCGCGGAACGTGAAAACGTGCGAAGAGGCTTTAATTAACTCGATTAAGACGTTAAGCGGCTATTCCACCGGTAACGCGATTCTCCGGCCGAGCGCTCCCTCGTTCGATTCGACGATGGAAGCGTCGCTCGCTTTCCGATCTCGTCGATTCTCCCGTTGAGAAGCTTCTCGTTGACGCTTCTTGTTTCGCGTTCGCGCAGCAACGCGACGTACCACGGCACTCGTCGATCATCGTGTATGCAAATACCGGTAAAATCGCTGCTCGTGCTACTTTTTATCGAACTCAATCATGTTACGTAAAGTATAACATAGTCAATTTGCGTCGGTGTGCTTCGTATTCTTGCATGTGCAAATTATAGGTGATACGCATAAATCAATGTCTTTGCGCTCGCATAGAGCCAACTAATTATTAACAAAGTTCGATCGAAATTCCGCGAACCGATATTACGGCCTGCCCCTTACGAAAGGGGTATGACGTATAATAACGAGCAAACTCCTAAATCTCAATTCTAATGTCGTCGGCGGTGCGCGTCGAGTTGAAAACCCGTGTGCACTCTGTGGCTATATCGCATATCTCGATCCATATCTAATGACTTTGAATTCTACTTAAACAAGGTAGAACAATTACGATCACGAAGGATAACTCGGAACAGCAAACACAAGTAGTTACACAGTGAGACAGGATACACGAACTAATTCCTTTATAATGAATCTGTTAAACCGAAGATCGTTTATTTGTGTTTGAATGTATCGCGAGTTTTTTTTCTTGCAAGTTTTTCCTAAGGACCGAATCAGACTAGCGATTGCCAACTCGGATTAAATTGGGATTGACGATTGTCTTCTAGCCAATGAAAGCCGACTAAATCGCTGGCCGCTTTGCTCTCATTGGCTGGAGCAAAGCAGCCAGCGATTTAATCGGCTCTCATTGGCCAGAAGACAATCGTCAATCGCCAATCCCAATCCAATCCGAGGCACTTGCTAGTCTGATTCAGTCTTTTTCTAAAAAGATGCTGGAACCCAATATCAAGCTCGTACTTTCGACGATAGACTAGGACCCGCTTGATGCTAGAAATACTTCAAAGCGCTCTTCTTCTCTTTCTTTATTAAAAGGAATGAAAATATGCGGAGCTCCGAAACATTTACAGCGTCAAGTGGACCGCAGCCATAGTTTTCCGATACGACTCGCGGCCGACACTCGTCGCGGCGTGTCACACGTGGACCGTTCAAAGTGAATAGAAATGGAAAACTCACGGGTGGTGTGGCGGTGGATGGAAGGCTACGGCCGCGGCGGCCGCGGCCGCCGCCGCGTGGTGTTCCCATGCCGCGGCCGCGGGATGCGCCGGATGCGGCGGCGGTGGTGGCCCGTGGTGCGGATGAAACGGCGGCGGGGGTGCCGCATGGGGGTGCGGATGGAAGGCCGCGTGGAAGGCCGAGTGCGAGTGATGCGGCGGTGGCGGCGGCTGCAGCAACGAGAATGCCTCCTGATGATAAGCGACCTCTTTCTCCGGCATCTTGCCGGCGGCCGCCGTCGCTGCGGCTGCTGCTGCTGTTGCCGCTGCTGCCAGAGCCAGCTGTCGCGCCAGAAAATCGCCGCCCGTCCCTTCCAGGATCAAGGCAGATTGCTCGTTGTCCTGGCACCCTGCTTGCGACACCGATGACACAAACGACGGGCGACAATGGCGGACATAGTCCGTTCTCAGAGATACCGTCCACTTGTCTTTGAAGAAAGACTCGGTGATGAATATGTCACCGCGGTTGCGCCTCGTTTATTCTCGATCGAGATGACCGACGGTGTCCCGTGACGCGCGCTTTTCTTCGCGTCTACATCCTCGTTGTCGGAATTTAAATGGTAAAAACGTATTGCCTCGTGTCGGGAGGAACCCGTCGGCGCTTTCGAAGGATCCAATCCTATTGAGCTTTCAACGGCGCTCGCACGTTGCTCTTTGCTAGCAATCACGTATTTGATATCACTTTTAATCCTTGAAACGGCTCTTTAAAATCGATCTTGATTCCGTCTGTGACTAATTTGATTGTGGAGCGTTGTTCGTCGACAGATTCGAATTATCCAACAGCTTTGCTAACGACACGAGACTCCTTTCACTGGCCGCCGAATACGGTGACTCACTGTTCGTTAATCCACGCGGGCCAGTTTCGATCGGTCACTGATTTGAACGAGTGGCAAGGCACGTATCGCTAGGTCACAACGCGTATTATCGTCGCACGAACGATCCCGCCGTCGGACAGACCGATTCGTAAGTCGGTGTCAATCGATCACCGTCGTCGCAATTAATGCGCGACGACTTCCACTGATCGCGCGAATCGGGAGCACGTTCACCACGACTAGACTGCTTCTGACGGCGCGTCAGACGTCCTCGCGATCGCATTCCTAACCACCATCCTCGACGAACGAACGTACCGGAGCACCGCGCCGATCACTGCCTGCCGATCGGCAAGTAACACGCGCGACACTTAATTTTATTCCAAAATTGAAACACTCTGACAACTAGGTTTCGCCGTCCTGTGCCCAGAATGCAAATGATTATCCCCTTTCGTCTGGATGCACGACAGGCCGTGTCTCCGACGGCGCGGGGGTGACCAAGTGGTCCGCTTTGAGAAAGACGCGAGTCGAAACGTGCATGCGGGCTCTGTCACGGTGCTTGTGCTTTGGCGGGTATGGCGGTACTGAAACTCCTCCACTACCACTACTACCACCACCATCACGGCCATCAAGAGGGAGCATGGTTGAGAAGGAGAGAGGTCGGGCGTGTGGCAGTGGCTGCGATGTGTTCTCGGGTAGGCGTGCGACAGAGAGGCTGCGAAGAGAGACTCGGAGAGGAAAATTCGACGTAAGAAAAGGGTGGGGAAAAGAGAATGAGAGAAAAAGAGAGAGGGCGAGGGAGCGAGAAAGTTGCGAGAAAGAGGAACGGACTTTGTGGGATGATGCGGGATAGAAAGAGAGGCGGATCATTCGGGTATGGTGGGAAGAATCGTGAGGAGAGAGGGAGCTTGTGGGATGAAAGTTAAAGGGAGACAACTGACGCGGCGATGGCGGAACGAGGAGAGAGAACGCGTGTCAGCTCGACAACTCAACTAGCACCAGCCGTCCCTGACTCCCACCCTCAGCCCTTCCCGATCTTTCGTCTCGTTCCCGCGGCTACGAAGGGAAGCGCGTGGGTGTATCCGAGAAAGACGAGTCCTTCTCTTTCTCTTTCTGGCCTATTCTTCTTTTCCAAATGCGTTTTTAGATGGAAGTGGGCACCGAAAACTATCATGCAGCAATTAGCGTGTGATTGCGCTCCGACTCTTTTAAATTCCTCGCGGATGTTACATCGCAACATTTTGTCAAAACAAACTACGCTACGTTGGTGTTAATGTGTGTGTGGGGCACCAGGAGTTCATTTCGTTTCGTCGAGTTTCGTTTTCTACCATTTCTGTTATTTATTTATTCATCGGTTTCATTAAAGTTACTCTCTAAAATTTTTTTAGTGAGATTTTCACTCGAATCATGGGGTCACTTCACTCTATTCCAGTGAATATTTACTCCAATAGAGTGAATTAATTCACTGTAAGACAAAAAGTGAAGAATATCACTCTTATTTTTTAAGTGAGATTGTTAGCACTCCAAAATTCACTCCAGCTTAAAGTACGATATTGCGCCACTAGATGGTCGCCGAACTCGTAAGTTCACGATAGCTCGGTGTATAAGGGATCCCGTCACGGGCCGGAACGGTTCTTCCGCGACAACAGAATAAGCGAAACTTGTCACATAAAGTATAGATTTTCAGTTCTGGCTGTGAATATTAGAATACATATATGCAATGATCATAGCGAGCAAACAATAGCGAAACTCTCGTCCATGAATTTTATACTGCTAAGAATAATCGATTAAAGCAAAACTTAGCACTCTTTTCAGAGTTGAAGTATCAATCTAATTGTAAGTAAAGAGTGAATAGCGGCACTCGTTCAAAAAGTGAAATTGCACTCCAATCGGACTGGCAGTATTTTCATTATTTCTTCGAGTGAAATCTCACTCCAAAAGAATGAGATTCCACCCCAAAAAATGTAGAGAGTATAAGATAATTTAGTTTTGCACGAGGAATTATCACATCCACGATTCATTATTGTTATTCATATCATGTGTGTTGAAATTCGATTTTCCACCGAGAATATTGTTTCTTTATCAATTTGAAAAATTTGTTAGAACATCGGCGATACGCGTGCGAAACACATGCGTCTGCTGCAACTTACCAAAGCGCTCGGCTTCCGGTGACCCCGCTTAAATTTTCACCATATGCCTCTGGTATCGAGTGTTTTCCTCTTAGTCGGTCTTGTTTCAGAACCGCCGCGCGGATTTCTCCGAGTTACATACCAGCGAGAAAAAAAATTTGGTCACCTAGCAGCGAGAGTCCTATGGACCTCGTCCGCCTTCTGTCCTGCCTCTCTACACGGTTTCGGCCCTTCGGTTTTGTATTCTCGCGCAGCACGTGTGAAACAACCGAGAATCTTATGCGAGGGTGCGGCTCGCATCTCATCAACTCCTATAACAACTCATTTTTTCCCCCGAGATTAATGAGCATGCCTCTCGAAAAACCGTTTACTACCCTATCTGTCTTTATTACGACGTCAAAGTTTTTTTTTACACTTAGAAATAGTACATAAAGCTTCAATCAGCATCTTCTTTGAAACGCCGTCGAATTTAACGAGTCTATTTTAATAGTAATTAACTAGGTGTCATCTAATATCCGATTTTCGCGACATGATGCGATTTGGTGTCTACAAAGCTCTCGAAAACAACCACGTGCGAATAAGAAAAAAATCGACCGTGAAAATTATCGACGGATGTGACGGGCATTTACACGATTATTCGTGAATCTTGAAAATAAAAATGGCATCCTTCTTCAATGAGACCGGACTGAAACAAGCGTTCCGATAATCAGCTGCGCGAGAGGGATGAAATGCATAGAGAGTCATTAACTAGCCGGCGTCGACTCGTGGTTGTCCTCTTCAGCCTACTCGTCGTTTGTCCCCCCTTCGACGCATCCATGTAATTCTCTGGCGTGGCTCCTCCTCATCAGCCTCGAGCCGCGTTATGTTCGCGTTTGCCGACAAACACCCGTAACTACTCATTATTTTGTTGACTCTGCTGGTCCGCCGTCGCTCTCTCGGCAGCGAGGAGGAGGCGAGATTCCGTTCCGCGGGACCTAATTATCGTCAAACGACCGGCCAATCTACGGTAGGCTTTTAGGTATCGGCTCGGACTTTCTCGTTCTTGCGAATCAACGCCACTTTAATCATCCTGCTCTCCGACATTGTTCCTTCTATAACGGGGTTATTGATACACGCAATAATTAGTCCTTCGTAAATTAGAACAGCTATTTACTTTGCTGTTCCGAATGTTCTCCACAAATTTAAACAGACGGGATTCACAGAAGCGAGCGAACGTTTATTATATACCTTTGAATTGGAAACGTTAATTTATCTTCGGAGAAAATATAAAATTAGGAAACATTAATGGTCATGATCGAGCCGTTGAAACGTTTATCCATCCGCGAACGTACACCTTAAGATATCGCGTGACAAGCATGACTTCCTGTCTCCTCCCCGGCCGTGTCCGATCGATACGTTTTGTCGACTTTTTGAATCGCCGTGGCCGACGTCGCTGGCTATTTAGATGGTGGCGAAGAGGACGGACAAGAAATAGAATTGTCAAGCGAGATCGCTTTGTACAGCCGGCCCGGAGTGAATGGACCGTGCGGTCGTTAAAATCGACAGAGTGCCGATATGCGAGTGCGGCTACGTCCAATCGATCCGTCTTACAGGGCTGCTCCTGAGAGAACATGGCAAAAAGCAGTTACCTCGCTTCATGGTAGTCGTGTTATCCAGTGTAAACAAAAAGGGACGCGTGTTACATGCACTATGCGAGCACAGTCGAACCGGCAACAACGCCACGCTCGTTATGACCGGGGCATAAGAGGATCTCCTTCCGTTTCTTCCCGCCTTGGATCTCCTTCCGCGTAGGGGGAAGTTCTCCACCTTGCTCTTCATCATCCTTTCCCGCGTATTGAATGTATCATCAACAGTCGATGTTATTATTAATCCCCGTTAGTACTTTCATAATGGCCTGGGTCCGCGATGCTAGAACTTGGTCCAAGTTCTCGTTCCGAGAAATGTGTAGCCAATCAGCTTGCAGCTATTCCATAAAAGCGTGGACCAAGTTCTAGCATCGTGGACACGGGCCTTAATACTTGTTCAAGAATCTGTAGATGAAGAGATTCTGCGAGCGCGAGAATCAGAATGATCGATGACCGTATCAACGCTCGTGCATTGGAAGTTTTCGGATTATAATAAATGCTATACGAACAGGGAATAGCAAAATGAAGTAATTATATCTCGTGGCATCTCTCGGTCTCGTTATTCGCATCTCTATTCGCTTGGACGGAGTCTTAGCAGTGAGATGTCGAGTGATTGTAGAAAGGGAAGACTGGAACCCTTTGGAGAGAAAGCCCCTACG